ATGTTCTTTCCAAAATAATTATTTCAGATTATATTAAATTATAAAATATGAATATTTAGATAAAAGTTAAATTTTTTAATCTCTTATAAAGAGTTTAATTTTCATTTAATTAAATAATTAATAAAATTTAAATTAAATTTTATTTTTTATATAAATTAATTATAAAAAAATACAATAATTATATTTTTAATCTATGTGCAAAGAGTATAAGTTAAAAAATTCTTAAAATTTATAAAATAATACTTCTTTATCAGCACATTTACAAATAGTTTTGACGAGGAGGGTGCTATTTTTTTCTTTGCTCCATCTGCTGCATTGCAAACCCCAGCAATTACTTTGAGCTAGAATGACAACTCAATAAAAATTTTTAAGCATATTTTTAACATTTTTAGAAAGCTTAACCAACTTAATATACCCCTCAACTAACAAAATGTAAGGATTTTAGCCCCCCAACTAAAAACACAAGGGAATTAACCCTTTAACGATTCGAGTTGAGGGAATTAACCTGCACTTGCTTTCTTGACGTACATCTGCCCTGTCGCTCAGTAGCCAGTAATAACTAGTAGGCACTAAGGCTAGGCACGGTTCGGTTTTGATTTAAACAAAATTAATATTTCAACTATTTATTTTTTATTTTTCTTATTTTTATTAACCAAAATTAAACTAAAAATATTTGTAAGTTTTTTATTTGATAACTAAAACAATCAGTTTTAATATTTTGATTATTAGTTTTAATCCAATTAATAATGAATGTCTATTTCAAGTTTAATAATGGCTATAATTAACTAAAATTTAAATTTTTTAAGATATATAAATATAACAAAATGCAAAAAAGATGGATAAATAAGAGTCAAATATGAATTTTGAAGTTAATTTTTTTGACTTTTAGATATATTTTAAATTTGAAGACTAAATTATAACAAACTTTATAAGATACAACTTAAAAGTGAAATTGAATAAGATGATTTTTATGCTTATTTATAATATTTAAATAATTATTACTTATTTATTAATAAAATTTTATTTTTTGGTTATATATTCAATTTTAATTTTTGAAAAGGCTTAACAAGTTGCAGAGGAAAGGGTAAAGCGAGCTGGAAGTGGCTCTCATTCGAATGGGTGCATTGCACATCGAAGTCAAGTAATTCAGAGAGAGATGAGCTTACATGAGGTTAGGAGGATGCTTAGTTTGGGGAAAAGGCTAGGGATTCAGTTACAAGGCAATCAAGAGGTGGTGGAGTCTAGATTATTTACGGTTGAGGGAAGGGAAGAAGTGCAAGAGCAATGATTGTAAAGGGTTCAAGGGTGGATCGGACAATTGGGTTGAGAGTTTTAGTGTTTTTTGATGAAGTTCTTGTCTTTTAATGTGAGAGGTTTAGGAGTATGTTGAAGAGGAAGGAAGTGGGTAAGAGTAGAAAAGCCAAATTTTGTATTCTTGCAGTAGACTAAGTTAAAAGGGATTGATGATATGTTTTGTCGATTGCTGTGGAATTCAAATGGGTTTGACTGGGCAATGAAGGAATCAAGAGGAGCCTCAGGGGGTTTGCTTTGTGTTTGGGACAAGTTGAAATTTGTTGAGATGGTCGAATTTATAGGTGATGGGTTTTTGGGCATAACAAGGGAATGGGGATCGATGAAGGAGAAGTGTCATTTTGTGAACGTGTATGCCCCACACGATAGACAAAAAAAAGCGCAGTTGTGGGATGAGCTAAAGCATATCATTGTAGAGGGAAGGCAATGGTTGGTTGCAACGATTTTAACATTGTGAGAAGTCTTGAAGAAAGAAGGGGAAGAACAGGGGATAACTTAAAGATGGAGGGAATTCAATGCTTTTGTAGAGACAACAAGGCTTGTTGATTTGAGACTGGTGAATAGGCGTTTTACATGGTATAAACCAGATTGGACATCCATGAGCAGATTGGATAGATTTTGGCTAACTGCAAGATATTTAGTATGAGTGGTGAATGGGTGCAACAAGGGTTGAAAAGAACTATTTCAGATTATTGTGCAATCACCTTGAAAACAAGATTAGCAGATTGGGGTCTCAAGCCATTTAGAGTATTGGACATTTGGCAACAGCATCCAAATTTTAAGAGGGTAGTTGAGGAAACATGGGGAGGGCTGAAGGTGGATGGTTATGTAGGAAATAAATATTTATGGAAGCTAAAAATGTTGAAGGAATTTTTAAGGGGCTGGAAATAAAGATGTGTCTGGAGATATGGAAGCCCATTTTGATAAAGCTGTAAAGAAGGTTGAGCAAGTAGATTTGCAAAATGAAGATTATGAATTAGAGGAATTTAAAGTGGATCAAAGACAAGAAGGATTTTAGGAGTTGTGGGCAATTATGAAAAAAAAAGAAACGCTATATGGAGGCAAAATTTTAGGAGTACTTGGGTGCAATTGAGTGATGCTAACACATGATTTTTCCATAGAGTTACAGATGGTAGGAAGGCTCAAAACAACGTCACAAGTCTTTTTTGTGATGGTTATTGGGTGAAGGAACTAGATTTGGTTAAGAAACAACTAGTTAGTTATTTTTAGAAGTTGTTTAAAGGGGATTCATCCATCAAATAGACCCAAGCCATGTTGTATTCATTTTAAGCAAATTTATGAGGAGAAGAAAGGGTCGTTAGAAAGGCCATGTATTGCTGAGGAAATTGAAGAAGGGTTTTAGAGCTATAAGGGGCATAAAGTACTAGGGCCGGATGGGTATAATTTTAATTTTTTCAAATTTGTTTGGGATACTTTGAAGGAGGACTTTGTTGGCTTCTTTAGAGAGTTTTGTTAGCATGGCAAGTTAGTAAGAGGATTAAACTCATCTTTTTGAACTTTAATTCCTAAAAAGCTTAATTCGAGGGAATTAAAGAACTCTAGGCCTATTAGTTTGATTGGGTGCATTTATAATTTGTTGTCTAAGGTGCTAGCTAACAAACTTAAGACTGTTATGGCCGAGATATTAGTGAAACTCAATTTGCATTTTTGGGGGGCATCAATTGGTTGATAGCATTTAATCTTGAATGAAGTTATTGATGAGGCTAAGAAGAGGAAGCAACAATTTTTTATTTTCAAGGTAGATTTTGAAAAAGCATATGATTGTGTCAACTAGTCTTTTTTGGATTGGATGATGGATAGGTTTGGGTTTGGGATCAAATGAAGAGAATGGGTTAAGGATTGTCTCTCAACAACAAAGGTGTCAATTCTTGTAAACGGAAGGCCGACAGAGGAGTTGAGGTAGGAAAGGGGTTAAGGCAAGGAGATTCTTTATTTCCCTTCCTTTTCTTGATGATTGGTGAAGGATTGCATGGATTAGTTAAGAAAGTAGAGATGGAAGGGTTGTTGCATGGTATAGTAATTAGTAGAGGGTTGGTCGTATCTTTGCTCAAATTTGTGGATGATATATTTATTTTGGGCAGAGCAACTAGTGAGCATATTTTTATGGTTAAAACCATTTGATAATGGTTTTAGTTGATGTTTGAGCTATGGATTAATTTTAGTAAAAATAGTGTTTGTGGACTGAATGTGTTATAAAGGTGGTTAAAAAGGGCAACTACTACTCTAAGCTGTGGAGTGGGGAAATTACCATTTATCTATTTGGGAATGCTTGTGGGAGGAAAACTAGGGATTAAAAAGTTGTAGGATCTAGTTCTGAATAAATTCTATATCAAGCTTGTCATCTAGAAGTCTGTTGTGCTATCTTTTAGGGGTCACATCACTCTGCTCAATTTGGTATTTTCTACTTTACCTACTTTTTATATGTCTCTATTTTTAATGCCAAAATTGTGGTTTTTGAATTGACTAGCATTCAGAGGGATTTCCTATGGGGTGGGGTTGAGTTAAAGAGGAAGACTTCAAGGGTTAAGTGGGAGTATGTGTTTTGTAGTAAGGTGAAGGGAGGTTAGGGGTGCTAGATTTACATAGGAGGAATTGGGTGTTATTAGGGAAGTGGTGGCTTAGATTAGATGATGGTGTGGAAAGTTTATGGAAAAGGTTGATGAGAGAAAAATATTATAGGGGTAGGAAGGTGGTGGATATTACTGTAGTGGAGAATTGGAGGGTCTTTAGAATATGGGGGGATGTTATTTGTATAGGTGGAATTTTTGTGAGGTTAAGGGATATGTTAGTGAAGGGGTTTAGATGAGGGTTGGGCGATGGAAGAAGGGTGGGTTTTTGGAGATATTTGGGTGGGAGATAAGCCCTTAAGTGATTTACGTCCTTAGATTATTTGTGTTGGGTACTAACAAAGAGGGTTTGGTTAGCAAGATAGGGGTTTGGGAGGGGGATATGTGGTGTTGGCATATAGAATGGAAAAGGGGTAGATCGGGACAAGAGAGGGATGAGAAGGAGTTGTTATGGGAGGTGTTGGCAAGGGTTCAGCTAAAGACAGGAATGGAAGACTGCTGAAGGTAGGTGCATGACTTTGAAGGAAGATATGTAGTGAATAAAGGCTTTGAGTTTTTAGTTTCTAGGGAGGGTGTTCTTTAGGGTCAGTTTTGCAAGTTGGTTTGGTGGAAATTAGTGCCTTTAAAGGTGGCTTTCTTTGGGTGGAGATTTTGTCTTGATGGACTTCCAACAAGGTTGAATCTA